TGTGAACATAAATATATGTTTACATACAGGTGTATGTGAACATAAATATATGTTTACATATATGTTTATATACAGATGTATGTGAACATAAATATATGTTTACATACAGGTGTATGTGAACATAAACATATGTTTACATATATGTTTATATACAGGTGTATGTGAACATAAATATATGTTTACATATATGTTTACATACAGGTGTATGTGAACATAAACATATGTTTACATATATGTTTACATACAGGTGTATGTGAACATAAATATATGTTTACATATGGGTGTATTTGAACATAAATAAATGTTTACATACAGGTGTATGTGAACATAAATATATGTTTACATATATGTTTATATACAGGTGTATGTGAACATAAATATATGTTTACATATATGTTTACATACGGGTGTATGTGAACATAAATATATGTTTACATATGGGTGTATGTGGACATAAATAAATGTTTACATACAGGTGTATGTGAACATAAATATATGTTTACATATATGTTTACATATGGGTGTATGTAAACATACATTTATGTTTACATACACCTGTATGCAAACATATATTTATGTTTACATACAGGTGTATGTGAACATAAATAAATGTTTACATACAGGTGTATGTGAACATAAATATATGTTTACATATATGTTTACATATGGTTGTATCTGAACATAAATAAATGTTTACATACGGGTGTATGTATGTATAAATAAATATATGTTTACATAAATAGGTTTACAAATGAGTCTATGTATATATAAATATTTGTGTACATACGAGTGCGTGTATGTACCAATACATGTTTACATATATGTATCCTGATACCAGAGAAGTGCTTCTTCACCACAAATGTTAAAACAGATTCATTAACTCCTGATCTTGAGAAAACCGCAGTAACATCAGCAGGTTCAGTCTTCAGCACAGGAGACACATGAAAAATGAGATTAGATTCAAGATCATTTTATTGTCAGTGCACAGGTGTACAACGAAACTGACTTCACGCTCACTAAAGACAGCTCATGTAAGGAGGTAGTAAAATATAAGTAAAGTAAAATAACAAGGCTAAAATAGATGTCACACACACGCTTTCTCTCTCTCTCTCTCTCTCTCTCTCTCTCTCTCTCTCTCTCTCTCTCTCTCTCTCTCTCTCTCTCTCTCTCACACACACAAACACACACACACACACACACACCTTTCACACACACAGTCAGTATGAAGTAGGGGTTGTATGAACTAGTCAACTTCACGGCTCTGTAGTGACTTTTTATGCCTGTCATCGACTAGTCGCTGTCACGTGATAATGACTGACAAGATGCAGTCCTTGGAAAAGACAGCAGGTGATGAGCCCCTGCGCGTCTGGATCGAGGCGGAGGCGACGCGCTGTGCCAGAGCGTCGGTACTGACACCGGCGGTAAAACGGACATTTAACCACACTGTGACCTTTTCCCTCTTGCAATTTTACCTTCCCCTCACCCCCATCCCAATCTTAACCAGCTTGCACATGCAAAGCTCTGATCGTTGACGCGCTCCAGATATCTGCGTCCTGAGCACCGCCAAATCAGGTGTCACCACTTCAAAAACAAATTAAACACGCGATCGTTCATGTCGGCTCATTTCCTTTAATGTTTTCTGTCTGTTATTTGTGCCTGATGCGTTTCGCTGCTGCGGAGCGAGGCGCATCACCTGTTTTGTCCTTCGGTGACACACCCCCAAAATTCCACTATCTCCACTCCGCTCCGGCACGAACTCCGCAGCAAAAACGGTCCCGTTGTAGTCGGCCGGCGAGCAGTGGCACTCCGCTGTTTTTGCGGTCGGTAGATCTTTTAGAACTGCAGTTCAAAGGTAACTCAAAAGGTGAATATATATGAACCCAGGTAGCAGTTTTTCTTTAGGATTGAGAGGAGATGCAGGAAGATAATAAACAGACAGGACAGAAAAATTGTCAAATAAAAACAAGTTTGCTTTTGTACCTGGTTGTAACAAACAGACACCATTGAAGGTAATCAGAAGTGAGGAACAGAAAATGAAATAATTATTTTAATGTTTAGAGCAGCAGCAAAGGCTGAAGGCGCATCAGTGAGTTTACGGTTGCTGCGCAGGGGGAGGGGGGAGAGGGCTGAAGTAGGATGCAGAAACTACCGTTGTTAAAAGAAATGTGTTTAACTTTGAAAATGTGGGCGCAATTTTAATTGTCAGAAACTCCAGCGAACCTACCAACCCCCCCCCCCCCCCCCCCCCCGTGCCGCTTCAGGTGTATGACGTCATCAACGACTAGTCGAAGTCGACTCGATTTTCATCACTTGACTGTCGACTTTAAAAGAAATTAAGTCATGCAGCCCCTAATATGAAGTGCAAAAAAGTTAAAGTATAATGTAAACATGGTAAAAAGACAAGTCTAAACTATAAACTGAAATATAAACATAATATAAATGTAAACAGTCACATGTTGAGGCATCAGGATTAGCTAGTTTATGTAATGTAAAGGTGCTGTAGTGCACCAACTGCCCAGCAGATTATGATGCAAACGTTCATTTATGTCAGTAATTCATCTTAAAAAGTGAAACTAATCTATGAGACAGACTCGCTCCATGCAAGTCTGGATGTTTCAGCCTTTATTTGTTAAAACTGGTAATTATGGCTTACAGCTGATGAAAACCCCACATTCAAAACCTCAGAAAATTAGAATATTATGAAATGGTTCAACATTTTAGGCTCAAAATGTCACACTCTCAGCTAATGAATCCAGAACACCTGCAAAGGGTTCCTGAGCCTTTAGACGGTCTCTCAGACTAAGATGGATTACTGATATAAAAGCACTTTTGCACCAGATTCTCATCCAGAACATTCCTCTCTGATCTGAACCCAAACCGACTGAATCCCGACAGTAACCCAACTGAACCACACCTGCACCGCAGTGATTTAAAATGTAACCTAATGTTGTTTGAAGATTTGAACCATTCCAAATGCAGACAGAGAGTGTTTATATATAAAATATAACAGAAAATACAAACTACTAAACTAAAAATTATCATTAAAAACCTGAAATTGTTGAACAAAAACAGCACTACCGTAATATTCTCATCACTTTTTTTTTACCAGATACCTTATTGTCCTAAATGAACAGAAAATACAAAATAAAAGAAAATTTTATTGATTTTTCTTGAAAGGATGAATGAATAAATTAATAAATTCCTCCTTCAACTGATTTGTTGGGTGAAACTTTCTCTGATGAACATTTTTAAGTCTGAAGATGAGAAGCAGCTCCTGTCTGGACCCCCATGAGCCAGTCAGACCGAACCAAACCACACGTCCACCGTGACTCTGACGAGTTCTAGTTCAAGTCCAACGGTGCCGGTGATGCTCCACAGCTGGGAGGCTGGGCAGCTTTTGTGAAGGAGGCAGCTTCTTTGCATACGAGAACATTAAGGCCAACAAAGACTCGGAGAGAATGGAAAGTCTGGGGGTGTCGCCAAGGTCACGGAGAAGAGGGGTTGAGGATGAGGAAGAGGGGTTTGGTGGCATGGGAAAGTCACCTCAGACACGGATCTGAAAGGACTAGAGGGCCCCGGAGAGTCTGGGTGGGGGCAGATGGTGCTCCTGGTGGGAGTCAGGGATTTTACCGAAGGTCACTGGGGGCTGGGTATAAATAATTAGCCACAAGCTATTGTCACCACCGACCCCCATTTCTGCAGTGACTCAAGTGACCCCCCACCATCTCAAACAGAGCATGGTTGTCTCTGGAGCTGTAGATCTACTGCTGGTTGGCTTCTTTACCAGAACCACATCCTCCAGTGGTCCACCGTGTTTATTATGTCTGATGGTCAAAATCAGTGAGGACCACAAACATTCTGGGTCCCACAGAAGATCCAACAAACACCTGACCTGACTAGATCAGGGCCACAGAGTCCCGATCCTCAGCTGGGCCTTCCGTTGGTCAGAACGTCTACCAAAACACCAGAGCTAGGAGCAGACCCAGAGATAATCATCTACCTTCTCATTTTCACTCATCGGCTGAGCAGAGGAGAGGGGATCTGCAGAACACCTAACCCTGGTGTAAAAGTGTTCTGAGATGAGATGGTACCAGCAGGTCCTCCTGGTGCCAGTTAACACATGTCCTCTGTCTAAATGCCGGCTCAGATAAATTAGCTTGTTATGGAACTTTGAAATGACACCAACATTTTCTCAGAGGGCCATTAAAGGAACCCTGAAGACATGTAGGAGAATTTGCTCCTCGTGTTGAGAACCTGTGTGGCTGGTTGATGCTTTGGTCATCTCCCTCTAAGCTGGGGAACCTGGTTGAACTACTGGTTGTGCAGCACACCAGGCTAAAGACCAAAGGTGACAGATCATTTGCTGCTGTGGCCCCCAGACTCTGGAACTCTCTCCCCTTGAGGCTGAGATCAGTGGACTCAGTGGTCTCCTTTAAAAAGCAGCTGAAGACTCACTTGTTCAAGCTGGCTTTTGTATGACCTTCTTCACCACTCTCTCTTTATTCTGCTCTCCCCACCTATTCCACCTTCCTCAGGATCCACTGATTTCCCTCTTTCCTATTCATTCTCTCTCTTTCTTTACATTATTTTAATCACAGTTGACTATTTTCTATTTTTAATATTTTTTTAGATTCTTTTTGTATTTTTACATTATTTTTTGTTTTTGTGAAGCACCTCATGATCTTTATCTTGAGAGGCGCTATAGAAAAGATATCTTCTTCTTCTTCTTCTTCTTCTTCTTCTTCTGACACAGAGAAGAAACATCCTCCTCCAAGAGTCTGCAGGTTGGACAACTCTGAAGGGAGCACAGCTTGTCCAAGCTCTCTGATGTCTGCACTACAGCGCCGTCCGCAGTGGACTCGTTTTTGAGCTAACAGATTGGGGATGAGCAGGTTGTTTAGGAGCATCTTAGCAGATCAGAGTCAGAGATGTTCTGGATAGTCTCCTCAGTGTCTTATTTTCTCTCCCTGAGCAGATCGTCCATGTTTGTCTGCTGAAGGTTGACCTTGGTTTCCAGCAAAACCTCCTAGTTGTATCTTCAGATCCATTCATGCAGAAATAACTCTGTAAACTCTAATCTGTGCAGCAAATATTTCATAAAAAGTGTTGAACATGATGATGTGACGATAAAAACGACCAACATTTGTCTTTATTGGCTAACCTTACAGAAACAATGTGATGATCCGTACCTCTTCTGATTAGTTTTCTAGTTTTTGATAAAGTTTTCCTCTGTCAGCATGTCTCTGAACCGTTGTGCTGCTAGAGAAGCAGGCGGATGTTGGACCGGTTTTAACCTTCTTGACCTGTGTGTACCTCCAGGTGGCTGTCTGGCCTCAGAACTCTCATTCCTGTTTGAACCCAGTGATGTGATCGCTGTGAGGGATCGCCTGCTCATGCTGGACTGTCAGGTTCAGGGTGCACAGCCCATCACGGTGACGTGGCGTAAAAACGGGTTGCCCTTACCCACCAGCCCGCGGGTCCAGGTTCTGGAAAACGGCACGCTGTTGATCCAAAGGTTCCAAAAGCGCAAAGAGGGGAGCGACGCAGACACGGGCGAGTACGACTGTACGGCCCAGAACCGCTACGGCCTGCTGGTCAGCCGCAAGGCACGAATCCAGCTGGCATGTAGGTATCAACAGGACACCAAGAGACAGAGGGACAGGGGACGGGGGACAGAGAGACAGACTGATTTCTAAACACACCTTGTTTCAGTTTTTTTTTAAATAAATGATTGACTCATTGAAAGAAAATTCAAACCAGCTGTTAACAAGAAAAAGGAATGTACAAACACAAACTAAACCATAAACCAGGAACAGGTCCACTCATTTTCTGACACATCCCAGCAGGTTGCTAGTCCCAAACCTCTCTCATTATACAATCATTCATTCACACACACATTCACACCCTGGTGGTGATGAGCTACAGTGTAGCCACAGCTGCCCAGGGGCGCACTGACAGAGCTGAGGCTGTTGAACACTGGTGTGTGTGTGTGTGTGTGATTTATCATTACTAAGAACTTTGCACCATTTCTTTACTTGACTTGTGTCCACACAGCAGGTCCAGAACCAGAACATCTATCAGAAACTGTTCATTTGTGTTTCTCTCTGCAGCTCTTCCAAAGTTCCACACCCACCCAGGGTCCATGAGCGTCGATGAAGGAGGCGTTGCTCGTTTCCAGTGTCAGATAAATGGAGTACCTGAAGCCAGAATCAGCTGGGAGAAGGACCGGGTGGCTCTGAACACATCTGACAGCAGGTACCGACCTGAGACCAGACTCAGGGTACAGAAGGTGTTGAATATAAAGTCTGGATATCTAAAGTTGCTTCTACATTTTGAAATGTGAACTTGCTGGTTTTAAGCTAAATGTGTAGCGTCTGCAAATCCAGACTGCTGCAGGAGTGTCCTTTCAAAATAAAAGCAAGATTAAGAGACTTCCTCCTGCATAAAGTTTAAGAGTTCCTTTGACTTTGAGTCTGTTCACTCATGGATCATTTGTAGGTGTTCATGTCTGGGTTCTGTTGCACATTAGTGTTTAAACAGTCTCACAATCTGACCATCAAAGGAAACCTGACCTCATTTTTAGCTATCTGGATTCATGTGTCAGCAAACGTTTAGTAAACACTTTTACTTATAGTTCAGCATCTATTGTAGAACTTATATATTTATGTTTGTTTGTAAAAGTTTACATTTTTATTTTATTGTTTGGATTTGTGTTAACACACACACACACACACACACACACACACACACACACACACACACACACACACACACACACACACACACACACACACACACACACACACACACACACACACTTTTGCTGTTATGAGAAGCTGAATGCATCTATGGAATTTACAGTAGAGTGACAGTGACCTTGGACCCCCTTGTGCAGGTACACCCTCCTTCCAATGGGGATCCTCCAGGTGACTGGAGTAAAGCAGGTGGATGCAGGAGTGTTTCGTTGCGTAGCGTCCAACATTGCTAACACTCGCTACAGTCAGGAAGCCAGACTGAACGTCACAGGTAGGTCAACACCTGAGGTCAGGTGAAGGAAAGTGTGTGTCGAGAAGTGCTCATGTTCCTGTCAGTGTCTTACGCTCTACCTACATGTGTTCTGATAACATTATTAACAGAAATAGACTTTTAGGATTATCTTTTACCTGAAGGAAATTACGCTATCATTTCAGAATAAAAGTCTCTTTTGTTTTTTAAGTGGTTAGCCTTTGTCCTATCTTTTTTCTGACTGGGTAAGTTTCTGTATTCAAATGTTCCTAGTTCTTAAGAAAATTTCACAAATATCATGAAATTCCAACTGAAGCTGTGACCAATCAGAATACAGCTTTAGTTTGTCAACACCAGCTGTATGGAAAAAGTCTGGAGATGATTTTCTGTGCTTTATCTCAACTTTGTGAGATGCAGATTGTATCAGATTATATGAGAGGAACATATAAATGAACAGCTGATTTTATCAAACCTTCTTTTTAACACAATCGTCCATGCTGATCAGGACGGGGTGATGACGAGAGACAACCCCAGCTAGGAGAGACATCAACCGTCTTCTCATTGTTACAGGTGGAGCTCCTAAAACCTACAAGGAGCCCTTCATCCTGTCTGGGCCCCAGAACCTGACCATCACTGTTCATCAGACCGCTATCCTGGAGTGCATCGCCACAGGAAACCCACGGCCTATTGTCTCCTGGAGCAGGCTCGGTACTGTGTTCTAATGGGCCCGACATGTTTAAAGAAGTTCAGATGTTTTAACGCTCTTTGTGTCCTGCAGATGGACGTTCTATTGGTGTGGAGGGCATCCAGGTTCTGGGGACGGGGAATTTAATGATCTCAGATGTGTCCCTGCAGCACTCTGGTGTTTATGTGTGTGCTGCTAATCGACCCGGTACTAGGATGAGACGAACCGCACTCGGACGCCTTGTGGTACAAGGTGAGGCCAGTATTGTTGCTGCATGTGGGTCAGATCCCGGATCTCAGGAACCACTGGACAGGCTTTAGTGAAACTCACAGAAACCTATTGAGCTTGGAGTTAATCTGATTCAAGATGGCCGACATAGCTAATCAGCATTAGCAAACTGTCTTTAAAGAGCAAGTCACCCCCTACCAGAGTCTAACTCCACTCCCACTTCATGTTTGAAAAATGCAACAAATGCTTTACCTGGCAGACCGAGAGGGCGGAGCCGCTAACAAATACACACACAGGCTCACGACAGCATTGTGACATCATAATGTACCAGTTTACATCATAGCATACCTCTTAGCCAATAGCGGTGGCGGATTTAAATTCAAATACAGTGCAGAGTTTTTACCTGACAACGGCACAACACTGCCAGTTTTAGGCAGAATATTTAAATTTTAACTAAGATGCACTGAAGTGCCAAATTATTGACGACACGTGTCTGCAGCACGATTAGACACTCGTTTATTTAGTTTATCAGCAAAAAAAAAAGTTTATTTGGGGGTTACTTGCTCTTTAAGTGACTAGCTGAGAGTCTGAGAGATAACGGACACCAGAACAAGCACAGCTCCATCATTCACCAACATCAGAGGATCTGAGTTTAAATTCAACCAAACGTCATTAACAGCAAGTGACGACAGAATGATCTGTGATAATATTTATGAGCTATTTGATCGTTTGACTCCCGAACTCAGCAGACCCGGTGATGAATTCTGGTGGTCATGTGACCATATAGTATTGAAGGAGACAAGGTTTGTTGCTGGTCCTGCTGTGAGAGTGGGGGCTGGAGGTGGACTCATCCATCATCCTGGACATTTCTCATGCTTTTCTGCCCCTCTGTTTCAGTAGCCGTATTTAATCAGCCTTCCAGTGGTCAGAGTAAAGGTTTATGTAGGGAATCCACGTTCTGATTCAGTTTGTGTTCATATGAGCAGCCTCGTCCACACACTTACAGCTTAACAGCTCTGTGACTACACACACTTCACTGAAAATGTCTTTCTATGATTCTAAACTGGATTTAATTATCTGGTATTTAAAGATTTGTTTTCAATTCAACCTCTGGTGTAAAGTTTTAGAGTTTCTACATCATTGGTGCTTTTTACCTCTGACATTCTGATTAATCAGAAAGTCATGCACAGGTTAAGTTACAAAAATATGGTTGTTAGAACCCACGTATGAACATGAACTAAAACAAAAACCAAAAATAGGCAGGCTAATTGAAATGTTTGGGGGAATTTGTTATTATCATTTATCCTTATTGTTGTTATTGTTACTAATAGTAGTATAATTATATTTCACAATATCATAAGTAAATGTTTTAAATGCAATGAAAACACAATTTCATTTATTTCTTTGCATCCACGTAGCTGGTAGCATGACTCGTTCATTAGCATCTAATTAAAAGTTAGCACTGACTCATTTTTAGCATCCATTTAGCTTTTAGCATTGACTCATTTTTAGCATCTAATTAGGTATTAGCATGACTCATTCATGAGCAGTCTCATAGCGATTAGCATTGACTTGTTTTTAAGCATCCAATTAGCTGTTGGCATTGACTCATTCATTAGCATCTGCTTAGCTGTTAGCAGCTAACAGCTGGCTGGATGTTTTTCCTTTGTGAGAAAACATGGAACTGTCCTCTTAACTGAAGGGTTTGTTTAAATATTATTCTCTCCACCTTAGTCCCCTCACCATCTCTGAACACCATGATGATGTCATTATCTGGAAAATTTGTCAAATCCCTGTCTCTGTCTCTGTTCCTTTGTCCAGATCAATATGTCCCCCTCTGTCCCACTGATCAGCATCCCCTCAGCGGACAAATAAACTAATATATTCATTAATTTATTGATCAATCTTTTTATCTTTAGGGCTCAACGAGCGTCAGGCTTCAGCTGTTCATTTGTGAACTCCCCCAACACAATATGGATTAAAGAGGTCCAGCAGCAGAACCGTTCAGAAACTGGGGGATTTAATGTGATCATGAGGATTTGTTTTATAAATCATGTTCTTAGCAACAGATATAAATCAGAAATACAGGTACATTAAAAATAGAATAGAAAATCCCATTATTGTCTCTCGGTGGGGAAATGTGTAACAGCAAATTCACAAAATCAAGTAAGAATAAAGCCATAAAAACATGTTTGTTTTGTTATAATCACATAATAAATCAGTGTGAATGCTTTAATTGGATTTTATAATTAATGTTTTAAGATAAATAGTAACGATTCTCTTACCATTATCTTATATAAAAATATGTTTTCTTACCTAATCACAGCAGAAATAAAACCTTCATAAATATTAGATTTTTAAAAAGTCCCAGCATTTTTAATGTATTCAAATTTTAACTAATTGATGTTCTGGAACAGTTTAGTTGTTGGATGAGTTAGCACGTCCGGAGTCTCTGTCAGTGGTCACGGTCAAGAGGAGGGGAGAGACAAAGAGACGGGACGTCTACATGGTCAATGCAAGGTGCAGCTGGGGGCTGGAAGGGGGAAGGAGAGGGAGGTAAAACTGACCTGTAACCTCTGACCCCTGACAGAAGGAATGGGGGGACGTGTATCTATGAGATGGGTGGAGGAAGGGAGGAGGTGGAGCAGTCAAGACAGATAGATGAGAGACAGAACAACAAAGCAGGTCCGGTACCAGACTGGAAGATGGATGAAGTCCCAGATGTGGGCTCGGGACAGAGGGGTGAGGACAGAGGAGTGAGGATATTGAGTCAAATGAACCAGAACCGTTCAGATGACTAGAGAGATGACTCAGGACCACTTCAGCTCTCTAGACTTGACTCACCGTTCTAGTCACGTTTAACCACAGAAATCTCAAAACCAGAGCAGAAATGAAGGTTCTGACGTCCTGTTTCACCCCCAGACTGAAAGAATCAGTTCTGTTGGACCTGATCTCTTCCTGAGGCATTCTGGACCAGTTTTATTTATCTGAGTCTGTGATGGATGCTTTGGTTTCTTTCATTTGAGCCATCAAACAGACCAGCTGTATACAAATCTGAAGGAGTTGCAGCGCTGAGGTCACTGGGTCAATGAGATGCTGAGGTCTGAGGCAGAAGGGGGTCTTCGGGATCCAGGATATGGCTCTACAGAGCAGGGTATCAGGGGAGTGGTGGATCCTGCTGGACCTAGGACAGCCGTGGACCAGGAGGGGTCAGCTGGAGTCGCTCTGTGTGAGAGCTGCAGGGACCAGGAGGTCTGGAGGGAGTTCAGGAAGACTAGCTTATCTCAGAGTTCAGGTTCATGAATTCAAAACTAAATCTGTGAAGGAAAGCGTTTGATGACATTTTTCTTAATCCTCCTTCAACCTTTTACCATTCAGGTCAAAGTCTAGTAGAACACACATTTTCCATTTAATTAAAGCAAAATTACAAAAAATAAACTCAAAATAATAACAATGTCTGAACAAATATTTAAACTTTATGACTGTGTATGATATAAAAATGAATGTGTTTTATTGTTATTACAATGCATTATATTATATAATAACTTATGTTGCCCCAAACTAATCATATATATATATATATATATATATATATATATATATATATATATATATATATATATATATGTATATATATATATATATATATATATATATATATATATATATATATATATATATATATATATATATATATATATATATATGAAGAAAAATGTTTATTCCTTGATTCTGGGTGTGGGATGAGTTTTGCATTTCATCTGTTCAATAAAGTTTTTTAATTTGCTCCCGTTCTTCGGTTTCCTCCTGTGACATCAGAAGCTGGTTCTGACTTCCTGTGTGTTTCTGTCCCTCTGAAGCGCCGCCTGAGTTCCTTCAGTGGCCGCAGTCTGTGTCCAGACCAGCAGGAGGCAGCGCCGTGTTCACCTGCGTGGCCAAGGGAGTCCCTGATCCGCATCTCATCTGGCTGAAGAACGGGAAGGTTCTGACTCCCGGACACAACGTCAAGCTGACAAACAACAACAGGTAGCATCATGGAGTGGATCAGTCCTGAGCTGAGGGCCAGGCGGTGGGCCGATTTCAGAACCAGAACCAGGAACAGCAGAAGGAATCTGGCCCCAGCTGTTGGTGGTTCTTAAGACAGGAAAATGGGGAGGGCACATGTGTGTGTGTGTGTGTGTGTGTGTGCGTGCGTGCGTGTGTGTGTGTGTGTGTGTGTGTGTGTGTGTGTGTGTGTGATTCACCTTCTGCAGCATCTTCTCATTCAAACACAAGCTTAAGTTTTTATTACACAGCAGAACCGTATGATGACCTTCATGCAGGAGGATGAGGGTTGGTGATGAATCTGCAAAAACCTGCTTTCAGACTCTTAACACTTGTGTGTGTGTGTGTGTGTGTGTGTGTGTGTGTGTGTGTGTGTGTGTGTGTGTGTGTGTGTGTGTGTGTGTGTGTGTGTGTGTGTGTGTGTGTGTGTGTGTGTGTGTGTGCGCAGCACTCTGGCTTTGACCCGTATTACCTCTGAGGATGAAGCCATCTACCAGTGCATTGCAGAGAACAGTGCTGGTACCAACCAGGCCAGCGCCCGTCTGGCTGTGACCCAAACTGAGGACCTGCCTGCCGCTCCCCAGGAGGTCTCAGCTAGCGCCAGATCCACCAACTCCCTGCAGGTGACCTGGCAAAGTCCTCCCACTGGGACTGACAGCATCATCGGATACGTCCTTCACATTCGCAAGATCGGAGGTGAACAAAAACTCATTCACGTTCACACACACACGCACGCGCGCACACACACACACACACACACACACACACACACACACACACACAGAACACGGAACAATGACTCAGCAACTTGTGTGTGTGTGTGTGTGTGTGTGTGTGTGTGTGTGTGTGTGTGTGTGTGTGTGTGTGTGTGTGTGTGTGTGTGTGTGTGTGTGCGTGTGTTCAGAGCCTGACAGCATGGAGCTGCAGGAGGCCATCAGCAGAGACGCGTTTCAGCACGATGTGACCAACCTGGAACCAGCCACCACCTACTCGCTGTACCTAAAGGCCTACTCATCGATGGGTCCGAGCCAGCAGTCCAACACCGTGGTGGCTACAACCCTCGGTGGAGGTACCCACATCTTCCTGATGTTTAGTGGAGACAACTCTTCTCTTTCCACCATGAGAAGACCAGAGGAGAGCTTTACTGGTTTTGCTTTAGCCTGTGACCTCTGACCTTAATGTGTGTGTGATCTCCATCCAGTCCCAACCCCTCCAACCTACTTCACCAAGGTGTTGAACTCCAGCGCCGTGCACGTCCTCTGGGAGCTTCCAGGTAAAGCAGGTCAAGTGGAGGGCTTCAGGTTGTCCTACCGTAGAGTCCCCCAACCAGAATACCAGGAGCCCATCCAGCTGCGTTGTGATGTCAACACCCACGTCATTTCGGACCTTGGTGAGTCCACTTACACCCACTTCTGTCTCACTGTGCTCACTATCCTAGCCTACCCACCACATGTTGATATGTCCATGTCCAACTTTAACACTGTGATGTGGCATTCATGCTTCTTGCTAGATTCAATGTGTGAAATTACATTTAATACAGACCAAGATCTTTTCCTGCCTTGTGGAATTGGTTTCCATCTTTAAGCTCCTGATCACATAGATGCTCAATAGCCCAGAACCGGTCTTTTTCAGAACCAGGAGCTGTGTATGAAGTCAAACTTGTGGCCTACAATGGGAATGGAGAGAGTGACTGCTCCAAGAGGCTGGTGTCTCTAGCAGAACAAAGTGACCCGATCACCGGTGAGTGACCAGAACCTGGATTCTGTTTCTGGTCCTGAGATGAGTGTCCACACCACCACGTTACTGTTGCTATAGAAACTCCTTGTAAGGCTTCCTGTTTGTTGTTGCTGAAGGAGGAAGCAGTCTGTGCCAGTGTCGGGATGCAGAGGCCTCCCTGGGCAGCGTCGTCGTAGGGATCCATATTGGCACCGCCTGCATCATCTTCTGTGTATTGTTCCTCATATTTGGGTATCGTCGCAGGTGAGAACCCATTACATCACCTCCTGTTCTGATGTCAGCCAAATCAAAACACAATCCTAAAAATGTAAATGAAACCTGTGAGTATTGACTACTCCTCTCTCTGAAAACACCACTCCATCACCCAGACCAAAACCATTTTGAGGTCAAAGGTCATGAATCTGGACTGAAGTTCTGACAATGCCAGACCAAAGAGATACAATGGGTCAGCTGAGCCCTGGAGATAGGTTGGGCTGCAGGACAGAACCGATCCCATAGCTCTATGAGATCAGCGCCAGGTCCTGGGTGTCCTCTGGAGGACCTTGACATAATCAGGCTGGTCCACAGACACATTATGAGTGTGGACAGGTGACGTCTTGTTGAGGGACAGTAGCAGGATTCTGTCTCAGAAAGAGTTAGGCATGTTGACCTGAGAGGTTTCTGACATAGCGCTGTGCTATCTGGACATTCTCAAGCATTTATCTGAACTACGACCCAAAAAGATGCCAACACATCTCTGGAGAATACTCCGTCACGTTGTGCATAGCTGTCTCGTGGGCCGTCCTCTCTGATGGCCTTTACTCAAGGTTTGACTGTCCTGCACTCCACCTGCTAGCAGCACCACTCTGCTCACGATGCCATCTGGGACTAGTACCTGATGTTCCAGCTCTTCATAAACAGCATCATTTACAGACCGGTCTCTTGTCTCCATGTGGACCGGACAATGTCCCAACTGCACTGTTCCTTTTGGGTGTTTGCCTCTCCGTCTCTGAGTGTGTTCAGCTACGCCAGCATGTCTTTACTGTTCTGTTGTCTCATTTCCAGCCTGTTGTGCAGTAAAGGAACCCAGGACAGCTGGCCGGTACCAAGAATCCATAACAGACCCAACAGCATCCCTAAAGATGGAACAAACCAGTCGGAGGCTCAGGTACTTTACTCTGAAACAGAAAAGTGCAAAGTCAGTGAAACTAATGTTGTGGACGTGTCCTTGAGCAAGACAGAGGACCCCATAGACCCCCCACTGGTGTGTGTGTGTGGCTCTTTAATGCTCAGAATGAGGACAAGTCAATGTAAAAACTGTTTATCTGGAAAATCGCTCTGCAGTTTTTGTTGTTAAATAAATTTTGTAACGAATGCTGCAACATTTTGGGGTTTCTCATGATTTAACCATGACCCTAGCCACTAATCTAATGCTAATATTAGCCTCAATCTGATTAAAGACAACCATAGCTGTCCTCAGGTAACAAACCAGGTCCTGATGCTGACTCATCTCTTCTGTCTCTTTCGGAAAGGCGGTGTGTCCGGCACATTGTCAAGTCGTCATCGAGCAGCTACCCTCAGGATTCTCCAGCACAGGAACTGGTTGATACTGGTCAACACCAGCTCAACACCCCCCATACCCCCCACCCCCTCCAACAGTCTGACTCTTATCTGGTTAACTGAAACTGAACCTTTCCTCCCAAACCTGCTGCTAGTCCAACCCAAGACCAAAGCCTGTTGCCTTTATTGCCCATGCACTTGCATGCATGCATGTGAAAAAGCCTCCAAATATCACTGCTACGCTGTTCTAATGTAGAGTGCTAGTCTGCACGCACGCTCGAGGCCTGTCCTGTTTCCAGCTGGGTTCTGCTCCATAACCAAAATTGTATCTTCTTCAGAACATTGCTGGAAACGGGACATGTCAGTGTGTCCATGACGGCCAGAAAACCCAACTGAAGCCAAATAGGACTGTGGCTCCAGAAAAGCAACAACATAAATGTTACGCCTTTATTTTGAAATCTGAGGCCTCTTACCTCAAAAGCCATTTAAGGTTTAAACCGGTCAACAGAATTGGACGTCCTGAACCAGACACCGTCCACGTCCAAACAAACCTACCTCATCCAGACAGGACCGGGTCTCCGTGTGTTCAGTAGCCTGTTCTTGACTAATACCAGCCACCTTCACCAGGATGAGCGGTGCTGGGTTCTGCTCTGGAGTCCGACCAGAATCCTGAGCCTCACTGCTGGATCAGCACCAGCCTTCAACACACCCCGACCACACGTCCTCTGTCTGCTGGAACCGGACGGCGTGTGGGACCTCAGAGACATTATGGTGCTGCTCGTCTGCATGATCAAAGGTCTATCACCGTGTCAGCCTTCCAAAAAGTTCTACTAGGAACGCCAAGCTGATTGTGCCCAAAGATGGAAACGTGATGTTTTCTTTCTGTTTCGTTCCATTTCTTTCCGTTTGAAACAGCTCCAGTTGCCGATGGTTGTCTGAGTGAAGTGCTTTAACTGAACCGAAGCCAAAAGAGTTCTCGTTATGATTTCATGACTTTATATTTGAAAACGTTTAGTTTCAGACACACCAGGCAGCGTGGAGCTCTTTATTTTCTTCATTCAGATGTTTGATTGAAAGAGCGACCAAATGAAAATATGGATGTTTGAAAGACTTCTGGCAGCACTAAAAGGTGTTGTTGCTTTAAATTAGCTGCATTTTTGCCAAATATTTAGCTCTCTTGTAGAAATGTGTAACCAAAAAAAAAAAACCCTGTACAGCATTTACACTTGTAGCCCTTAGCAGATGCCGTTCTCGTTACCAAAGCACAGGAACACACGAGACGGACCTGACCTGAACCCCGAGGGCATCGAGAGGAAACTCAGCTCTAGTTTCTGAGAGACGTTTCAGAGGATTCAAACAAAAACAAAAAAATAAACGACCAAAAAAAAAAAAAAACACTAAAAACCAAAGTAAACCAGTTTGAATAAGACTGGCTTTAAAGTAATGTTTTATTTTTTCTCACAGAAACCAACCAGTTTGGTCTCAGTAAGAATAAGACCTCTAAAACAGATTACCATATTAAAATACCTCTTTTAGTCCCACCCACATGAATTTATTTTAAAATGCAGTTATTTATAAGACATTCAATTCAAATTCATTTCAAAAATACTTTATTAATCCCAGAGGGAAACTGAATACAATTTTATCATATTCGATGACGATACATTTTCGATGCAGCCCTACTGGGTACAGAAACTAGATGCTAATGTTGAGCTAGCAATGCTAACAGTTAATTATCATATCATCATCAACTAAATACAGGATAAATCCCCCTTAACTAAATAAACATGATGAACGTGTCTTTTCTGAAGATAGAGGGGTTTTCCATAAACAAAAATAAATACAAAGATAATACAATACAACTCAATGCAGTAGTTTTTTTTATATTTAAAGGGCTTCATCCTGTCTAAAGAGGCTCTGGCCCTTTGAAGGATGAGGACAATGAACATCATGAGACAGAGGTTTTGCTTTGTTTCTCTCATGTCTAACAACCAAGTGAACTAACCAACAATGTTCTTAAAGCAACACTAAGTATGTTTTTCGCTCCTCTGCCCTACTGGTTGAAAGCAGAATTACAACTGTTGTAAACAACCATGCCACAGCCTGCTGTAGCTAGCGCTAACAACGAGCTAATGCTAGCATGAGACAACTGGTACTAAATGAGCCACAAATTAAAAGATCCACAGAAAAAATATTACTTACAAGTCCAGTAGCAACAAAGTCAGGTCACTATCAGTCCGTCACTCGCCTCAAACGAGTGTAGGCTGCGCCGACCTTCACTGTGCTGTCCAACATGAAGTTGCTCAAGTTTATGACTCAAGAACCACTGGAATCAGTTTCAATGCAATAGGTTTAAGTGGTAAAATGTGTTTGCTGTTGCTTTAAACATGACACCAGAACCAGAACTTTCACTGCCCTTGGGGTTCATTAATAAGTGTAAAGGTCAAAGCAGAAAATAAAAGCATGACACTTCCTTGTTTTAACCAACTGACAGCTGTTGAACCAATGTGAAACCAAAAAGTGAATTAATGTTCTGAAGGACTTTTGTGTGTTTGTAGTCTTTTAGCGTTTAACGTAGTCATTGAGATAAAAGCGTTTCCGTTTGAGACGATTTCTTTAAACTCTTTTATTCTTGTTTCTCCTACAAGAACACTCACCAAAATAAAAGTCTAGTTTTGAACTTTTGTAATTTTAACTATTTTATTATTATTAGATTAAATAAAGTGTAATTATTGCTGTTTCATATGTTTAAATTTGCTTTAAAAATGACTGATAGAGATCCTTCGTCGTGGCCTTTAAACAGACAATGTGAGTTTTTCAGAGTAAATTTAAGAGCAGGATATTATTGAAACTCACATTGTGCCATAACAGCCATGCGTTAGAAGAAAATAAATACAAACTATAAAAACTGGCAGCTAAAACCACTGACATAAAGGCTTTAATACCCAAAGTCCCTCTGTAGGATGGAACTCGTCGAAGCTTTAAACAGGTCTGCTTATTTTCCTGTTCTCAGGTTTTATTTAAAATGTTCACATTTTACTAGATTAACAGAAACCAATAACAGTTTTCATGATTTCACATGATGAAGTTGTATATTTATTGACACCACTCCCACTAGATGTTAGTCTGACCCATCAGGGATCTGCTGGTATCAGACAGATGCCTCCACTCATCAGTAACTGTCGTTTCTGGCTCTCGCTATCAGGAATATTTTTCTTTTTCTTTGATCACCTCTGGACCTCCAGCTGGTGCATTATGACCTAAACTGGGGTCCCGACCCAGACTTTAGGAACCACTCTTCTGATTCTTTTTTTAAAAAAATTTCAGAATTTACAACTGCAGAAACCAGATGTGAAGTTGATCCCTGATTGGTCGGGTTTATGAATGTGATTTTGTCAGGTTTATCGTGAAAATAACATCAGGACATGCTGGTTTAACTGGTGCTTCTGATTGTACTCGTCTGATTCGCTATCCTGCATGAGCTGAATGTTTTTCTGCTCCACCATACCTGATCTGATACCTGCAGGACAGCGGACCTTAGGACCTCCTGAAGGCTAAACCCAGTAAACAGTAGTCTCTCCAGATTGTTGCCCTTTCATATGAACCAGAACGAACATTTCCAACCAGTTTGTTTCCTCTGATCTTGAAAAGGGAATGAACTCTCTAAACATGCAGCTGAAAGAGGCTGTGAGCTGACTAAACAAAGGTCACAGCAGGACCATTTAGTGCTGAAATCAGAAACACTGACATCTTTGCTGCAGGACTATGGTGAGACCTCATGCAAAATCAAAATATTATAATTAAACTGATTCTCTAATATAATAAAAACCCTTCAAAACAAGGAACACGAAGTTAGACAAGGTGTTTTATAGCTGCTTCTGGAGGTGACCGAGCTGTTTATTGTGGTTTAACTCTTCTAAGGTAATGTCGTTGGGATGATTCAGATTATTTTACTGTTGAACCTTGCATCTAAGTGGGATTACGTTCTGTTCTAGCACAATGTTTAAAAACCAACACACCTGAAACCAAATAAAGACTTTTAGCTGACTTCCTGTTTCTGTTTTTATTGAGGAACTGTCAGGTCAGGAGTTTGCTCTGTAACTGGTGGGTTGCTGGTTCAAATCCAGGCTCTATTGTTGTGTCCTTGGACAAGGCACTTCACCTCCTTGCCTGCTGGTGGTGGTCAGAGGGACCAGTGGTGCCTGCTTTCAGCAGCCTTGCCTCAGCTGTGGCTACATCGCAGTTCATCACCACCAGTGTGTGAATGTGTGTGTGCATGGATGAAT